GGCCCGCCCGCCCGACCCGCCTGTTGGGTCCGCCTGCCCGACATGCGGTTTCAGGGTCTGGCCTTTGCGTGCTTGCAGCCCGCCCGCATTGATGCCCCGCCCGCCCGACACGCCTACCAACGTCCGCCCGCCCGCCCCGCCCGTGACGGCTGGCCCGCCCGTGAGGGCCCGCTTCCCAAAGCGTGGCTCCTCTTTCTTCGCCTTCTGCTAAATCTTCTTCGCCCTCATCTCCACCTCCCTTCCTCTTGTCCCCTTCCGTTCTCGATTCCTCCTCCTTTCGTCGCTCTCTCCCTTTTCCTTCTCCCTCCTTCTCCCCGTCCCCGCGCCAACTACCACGTGGCAAGCAACAAAACATTTGCTCCCGAAGGGTGTACGATCGAAGACGAATAAGGCGGGCATCGAAGGGTCGAGGAATACGTGTTAAATGATACGCGAGCAATGAAGAACGAACCACCTTAAAATGATTGAGTATCAGGTAATAATCAATTTCAAATCTTGGGCCCCTCTTGATCCGCTTTCGCGCTATCACCTCGGCGCCGAATGCCTTTCCTTTGAAAAGGAAGCTTACGCCCGAGCGCCGCGGGGGGGCGTCTGGACGCCCCCGCCCCCAACAACAACAACGCTCCCCCCTTCGATACCTCCTCACGTTGCACTTCAGATCGGTGCCCGTGCTCGCCGCCGAAGACTGGCCGTCCAACAGAACCAGCGCTCCCGCTCGATACTTCCGTGGTCTTGACAGGACTGGCGATCTCGCCTCGGTGCCGTGAGCGCCCCCCCCTACAACAGCGGCGCTGCTGCTCGACTCTTCCAAACTTTTGCGCTCAGAATTGGCGCTCATGCTCGCCGCCGAAGAGCGCTCCTCGAACACAACCAGCGGTATCCTTTAGGGTCGCCCAGGGGATGATATCCACCATGGCAAATAACCACCCAACAAGAACCGGCACGGCGAATAATACTCGGCAAGTGATTCGGCCGCCGACCCCCGCAACTAATTGCCAAGCCAGAGCTTGAGGGGGAGGGGGCTGCAGCACTAAAAACCTCCCGCGGCTACTTCCTTGCTGCTCACTCAGGAAAGGCGCTCTCTTGCTCGCCGCGGATAGCCGGGCCTCCAGCAGAACCCATGCAATACCTAAGAGTGATGCTCACGCCTTCGGTGCCGCAAGCCAGCCACTCGACAACAACAGCGCTTCCGCTCGATAGTCCTCTGCTTTTTGCTCAGGACTGGCGCTTTTGCTCGCCGCCGCCTCCTCCCCAAAGAGCAGCGCTTCCGTTCGATACTTCCTAGCTGGAGGTCGTAAAGTGCATCGGGGGAGGTGTTGGCTCGACCTCCTTGGGCGGGATATCTGGGTGAGGGAATACATGACCTCCTTTGCGTACAATGCCCCCCTGCGGGGAGCGACATCATGATGGGTGCACGTGGCATATGGAAGCGAGGCGCATGAGGGTATACTGCTTGCTGTTGTTCCTGTTTTCCGAACCCGGCGGCGACCTGGCGCCCAGGTCGCAGGCCCGTCCCCAGGGCGTGGCGTGCTCTCGAAGCACGAAGCGCGCCGTCGCCCGTCGAACTGCCAAGACCATCGGTGGCCATCGACTGGGGGAGCGAGGGCGGGGGGAGGCCTCCACGGGGAGAATGGGAGAATGGGGGGGGAGGACGAAGAGGAGGAGGACGAGGAGGACGAGGAGGAGGAGGAGGAGGAGAAGGAGGAGGGGGGGGAGGAGGCGAATGAGGAGGAGCAGAAGGAGGGAGGGAGAGAGGCGGCGGAGGCGTAGAGGGGCATCGGCGGCGTGCCTGGGGGGCAATGCAGAGTGGGTGGGCCTCCCCAGAAGGCTCCGAAGGCCTCTGGCCTTCTGACATGCATTTCAAATTCTCTCCGAGGCTTCGGAATGGGGCTCCGACAAGGAAAGGGGGCTTCTGAGAAAACGCGCATCCTTCGGAGAAGGCCTTCCGCAGTGACGCAATAGGCATACTGCTCTCGTCTGTCCCCCAAAGACGCCAGTGAAGTGTCCTGGCCTCCTCAGCGTTTTTGTTTGTTGATTTTTTATCTCCCTCCCTGCCCGCACGGGGATCCGCTGAATTGACAAGTAACAATTGCTTTTCCATTCCGAGCGTTTTCAGTCGTTCATAATGGCGCTGTCTCTACAGTGCTGGCTCAATTTATCCGTTCCCACTCCTTCCTAATGATGTGCCCGCAGCAGCGCTGACCTCATGTCATTGTTTTGGTTATTTCAAATCGTGCTTCTGCTGCAGCGCTGGCTTCGTTTCCGCGCTTCCAGTCCTTCCAAATAAAGCTCCGACTTCAGCGCTGGTCTCATTTCCACGGCTTCCGTCCTTCGAAATCGTGCTCTCGCTGGAACGCTGATCTCATTTTGAGCTCCCCGCTTTCCAAATCGTCCATTTGCATGTCCCGTCCTGTGTCACTTGTGGTTTCCCTTTGATCTTGCTGTCTAAATGAATCGCGTTCTGGACGGACGGGCGACATCGGCTGTGGCCGTGCTCTCTTCTATGTCATGTTATGCCGTGCTATACGATGCATCGCGTACACTCTCTCGCAATCATTCCCCTGTTCGATATCCGACTGTGCGGATGAAGAGGAAATCTACGCAATGGTGGAGGGAGGGTAGGTCATATACGAAAGTTGCGCACCTAGCTTGCCCCTTTCCCCCCCTCGCTTCCCCCCTCGGCGCGACGCAATTGCCTGACCCCTGCTCGAAACTACTGCCTGGCGAGTCTGGAGTCGGCCAAGTGCCGCGTAACGCTTTTCGGCAGATTTGGCCCCAGAGGCGTAGACTGCAAGGGAAGAGGTCCGCGCATGAGGCTGCCTCGCGCGCCCCTTACCGCTCCCTTCTTCTAGGCTGCTCTTCTCCACCCCAAAGGAAAAGAACCATGGCTACGCACTTACAATACTTCAGCAACGTCTGGTCCATCTTGACCAGCTTCGGCCAATGCCGCTGGAGCGAGACTGTTGCGCGTTAGTGCCGCGGCTTTCGCAGTAAGTTCGCCAGGCCCTTGCCTTTTGTCTCCAGCTCTTCTTGAGACAAACTTGGAAGCGAATCCGTATCTACTAAATGGGCCATGTATTCGACAGCTCCGACCAAGCATGAACGACCTGCCAACTAAGGGCGAGCAAACTAACATCGTAATGATTATTTTCTCTGACGTACACCAGCTCAAACAACACCCGGGACATATCAAGAACCGACATAACCCTGATAGTCGGTGAACGATTTGATGAGCTTGGGGAGGTGAGCGAACGCAGTCAGAGCACACCGCGCTCCGAGGCAAGACTCATCTGAGGGGTAGCTCTCCAACCCTGCCGCTTAGAGCTGCCTGGACCTCCCCGTTCGAACCTACAGCCCAACCAGCTCGGTGGAACTGTCTCGGGCATTCCCTCTCTTTGACGCACCTGCCATCCCAGAAAACTGTGCGGCTGTGCCCACAAAAGCCTTTGAAGCTGGCCCCCCCCCAGCGCCCCAACATCAGCGTGCTGGTGCTTCGTGGCGGAGCTTGCCAGGAGGCAGCGGAGGAGGGGGAGCGGAAAGACAGGAGGAGAGCTCGGATGTGGAGGCGGATTGCACGGGAGGAAGAGGATGGGGGAGGAGGAGGGGGAGCAGGGGGAGCACGAGCAGGATGAACAGGATTCTCCCGCCCCGCGCAAGCGATGGGGTTTCGGGCGGGGGCCGCGGCCAGCGCGCGCGCAGGGAGGCTCAAGGTAGCCGAGCCCCCAGGCGCGCGCGCGGGCTACAACATGCACACCAGGGTGCATGCCGACGCCCGTAGGAACTCAACCTCACCATGGCGCCGCGGGACCTTTGCCACGCCGGCTGCCACTTGCCGCCGCCGCGCACCCTGACGCCGCCACATCGTGCCGGCGAGCTTGCCTTGGGAGCCTGCCGTGACGTCCTGCCTCATAGCATGGGCACGGGTGCAGCCCAGCAGCAATCCCAGAGCATCGTCGCGCGTGCCCCCGCACCTCCTGCACTGGCGAGCCCGCAATCTCAGCGCCTGTGGTCCGACCTCTCTGCGGCTGGGGGCCAAGCCGCATCGAGCACCATGACGTTCCACCGCGCCCAATGGGTTCCGCAGCCGGGAAAGGCTGCCCTCGCCAAACCTCCACCGCCTCAAGACCGCCTGGCTGCTGCCCGGGAGCCAGCCCGTGCTCCAGCAGGCCGCGCGGCTTCGTTCCCTCGATCTGTGCTCCGTGCCCAGCGGGTGCCGCTCGCTGGGCGCTCCTCCCCCATCGATGCCCTCGGAACTCCCAAAGGCGTGCGCCGCCGCTGCTGGCGCCGCCGTCGGCCCCGCTGCAGGCGGCGCTCGCCAAGTCGCCCACCACCGCGGGATCCGTCGGCTGCTCTGTGGTGGCCGCGCCGTGCGCGGCTGTCGCTGCTCTGCTCGACAGAGGTGCTCGTCCGCGCACCTCTCCGCCACCGCCCCCCCTCGTCGCGCTCGCCAGGCACTGGCCACAGGCAGAGGAAAGAGAGGTGTGCACATACAACGACCTTGGCCAGGTCCATCCTGAGCCCAGGATCGGTGCGTGTGCCCTCCTGGAACGGCCATGGGCACATGATGGGCCTGGCGAGGACGTGGGTGTGTGCATACTTCTCGCCGCCCGAACAGGGCCGATTGATCTTCATCGCCCCCCCTCCCCCTCCTCCCTCTTCTCCTGGTCTCCCTCCTCTTCCCCCTCTCCCCTCGCCTCCTCCTCTTCCTCCTCTTTCTCCTCCTCGTCCTCCTCCTTCTCCTCCTCGTCCTCCTCCTCCTCCTCCTCCTCCTCGTCTTCCTCCTCCTCCGCCGCCTCCTCCGCCTCCGCGTTCTCCTTCTCCTCCTCCTCCTCCTCCTCCCTCCCTCCCTCCCTCCCTCCTCCCTCCCTCCTCCTCCTCCTCCTCCTCCTCCGCCTCCTCCTCCTCCTCATCCTGGTCGCTGTGACGGTCGTCTATGCCGCTGCCACCGCGGGCCACTGCCGCCGCCGACGCGAGCTCCGCCGCCCTCCCGCCCTCCGAGCCTCCGAGCAGGGGTGCCGCCCCACTCCGCGCCGCCCAGTGCGCCAGCTTCCGTCGCCGGCCTGTCGGCCGCGCGGCAGGGCGGGCAGCGAGACGGCGACGACAACGACGAGCATGAGAAGGACGAGGAGGAGAACGAGGACGAGGAGGAGGAGGAGGAGGAGGAGGAGGAGGAGGAGGAGAGAAAAGGGAGGAGGAGAGAAAAGGGAGGAGGAGGAGAGAAAAGGGAGGAGGAGGAGGAGGAGGAGGAGGAGGAGGGGGAGGATGAGGAGGAGGAGGAGGAGGAGGAGGAGGAGGAGAAGAAGAAGGGCAAGGAAAAGAAGAAGAAGAAGAAGGAAGAGAAGGGACCAGAGTACGGTCGGGAACTTTTGCTTAGCGTGCCGCCGCGGCGACAGCGACACGCTATGCCATGCGAGCGGATAGCGTGTCGCTCCGCTCCGCGGGGTGGGAGGCTCGGAAAAGCTCTGGACGTTGACGCTTTGGGTTTGGGGACTGGACAGCGTGTCGCTCCAGAGCATGGTGGGCTCGAACTGGCGGAGGGACACGCTGTCCCCAAATGCCCGACTGTAAACCCAAGATGCGTCAACGATACTGCAAGACGCCCTCCCGTCCCAGATCCCCTCCTCATGAGCTCCTGCAAGCTTTCCTTTCTAAGCCCCCCTGGACAGAGTGTGATAGGAGGAGAAGCTCGACGAGCCCCCCCGCCTTGCACGGCATGTCTGGACTGCGATGTGAGCCCACACTCCTGGCCCCAGTGGCCACGCACACCAAATCCGGGGCGTGCTGGGGCCGCGGTCGAAGCGGGAGGAGCAGGATAATGAGGGGCACGAGGACGAGGAGGGGGAGTCGACTGGACGAGGGGGAGGAAGGGGCAGATGAAGGGGGGGGGATGGGTAGCTCAGCGGAGGCATCCCGGTGGCCTCCCAGAAGCCTCCGGAGCCACAAAGTTTCTCGAACACGTGGGCCTCCCTCCTCCACGCCAGGTCGCCTCGGCCTTCCGGCCTCCCCTCCCCGCCAACCCTCTCCCTGGAAGGCCGCCCTCCAAACTCTTCCCACCTCCTCCCGTGTTCAGGCCGTCTCCGTCATTGGGAGGAAGTCCTTGGGAGGAGGAGGAGGAGGAGGAGGAGGAGTAGGAGGAGGAGGAGGAGGAGGAGGAGGAGGAGGAGGAGGAGGGGGAGGAGGAGGAGGAGGAGGGAGGAGGAGGAGGAGGAGGAGGGAGGGAGGGAGGGAGGGAGGGAGGAAAAGGAGGAGGATGAGGAGAAGGAAAGCTTCCCCCTCCTTCTCCTCCCCGTCCTCCTCCTCCTCCGCCTCTTCCTCCTCCTCCTCCTACGACGGCGGCGGCCGACGGTAGCGATGGTCAAAAGGAGGAGGGCGGCGGCGGCGGCAGCGACGACGACCGCGGTTCCGGTGACCACGGCGAGGGCGACGAACACGACGGCAGCTGGCGTCGAGCGGCGGCGGGGCACCTCTGGCCGCGGCGCCGCTCCACCTCCTCGGCGGCACGCTCGAACTCCGCGGGGCAGATGGCCGCGCAGTGCTGCCCGGGGGGCCGCTCGCCGCCGTCGCCGCCGCCAATGGCCGCCGTCGTCGCCGTCGGCCGCCGCCGCGTTCGCCGCCGCCGCCGCCGTCGCCGCTGCCGTCTCCGTCGCCGTCATCGTCTTCGCTGTGTCGAAGGACGGGCAGGCAGAGGAGGACGAGAAGGGTCTTCGAGACGGGGGGGGGTGACGGGGGAGGGCGAGGGGGGGTCAGAGCACAACGAGCCAGAGCGAGGAGCTGAAGTGATGGAGAGGCATGAGGGATGAGGGAAGAGGAGGGCGAGGAGGAAAAGGCGGAAGAAGAGGAGAAGGAGGAAGATGAGGAGGGGAAGGAGGAGGAGGAGGAGGAGGAGGAGGAGGAGGAGGAGGAGGAGGAGGAGGAGGAGGAGGAGGAGGAGGAGGAGGAGGAGGAGGAGGAGGAGGAAGAGGAGGAGGAGCAAGACTGGTGTAAACCGAAGACTCATCAACTATGTTGGAATACGCACTCCATCCAAGCTCCCTCGTCATAGGTCCCTGCAAGGATTGGTTTCCACTGCGGGAAGTGCCCCGTTGGGAGAGAACCCGTCGAAGATCCTGAAGCGTACCAAGACACCATTCTCGGGACTCCAACGCCACGAATCAACTCGACTGTTGCGCCTTGACGATCCGGAATCGTGCCAAACACCATTCCTGGGACATCAGCACCGCGAATCGACGTAACTGTCGCGCCCTGAAAATCCTGAAGCGTTCCGAACTATCATTCTTGATACGTTGACCATGGGACTCCGTAGAACTCTTGCACATCGTTAAATCTAATGTGACGGCGGTAAAGCGAGAACCGCATTTTGAGAAGGAGCTGACCTCGATCCGTGACATTCTTGCAATTGTTGACACCGAATGTGCGCGGAATTAAGCGATAACGACATTTTGACTGTTGAGTCGCCCTCAATCGGTGAAGCCTTTGCGAATTTACAAACGAATGTGCGCGGCGCTAAAGCGAGAACCGCATGTTGAAAACGATTCACCTCAACCTGTGCAACTCTTGCACATGAAGTGGAATACTTTGCGTGGCGTTAGGGCGAGGGCATTTTGAAAACGGCCCGCCCCCAACCCGCGACGCTCTTGCACTTTTTAAACGCATGTGAGCGGCGCTTCGGCGAGAACCGCATTTTGAAAACCGCTTGCCCTCCATCTGTGAAGCTGTTGCCAACTACGCTTCAATATCATTTATGGTAAGGGAATCTCAAACGAAACGCCCGGCCCGCCCGTCCGACTGGCCTCGGGGTGCGACGCGGAAGAAGGATGCAGGGGGAGCAAGAAGACGACGACGACCGCTGGGGCCTCTGGATCGCCGCCGGCGATGTCCTCGGAACCGCGCTCGGCGTCGAACAAAGACTGCAGGTTGCGGCCAGCCTCCGCCTGCAGCCGGGGGCAAGCAAGTGCAGAGAAGGAGGAGGAGGAGGAGGAGGAGGAGGAGGAGGAGGAGGAGGAGCATGAGGAGGAGGAGGAGGAGGAGGAGGAGGAGCGAGCGTCCCTGGCGAAAGTCTATCCCCGCCTGGGGCCGCTGAGTGCGCGCGTGCGCCGAGCCTCTCAGGCTCGTGTCGAAGAAGTCCAGGGCGTCGTTGGCGGGGGCAAGGAAGTCGACCGAGTTGTCGGTCGCACCGTCGGCGGGCGCCATGGTGAACCCGTCGACGCTGATCTCGAACACCGTCCCGCTGCTGTCATCGTTGCCGACATGGCCCTCGTCCAGGGCGGCCGAAGCAGGGGAAGCACCAGCCGCGTCGCCGTGCATCTCATGTGGCGCAGGGCCATCGTGCGTGTGCTCAGAGAGGATGTCCGCGCTGGGCACGGCGGGACCAGCCGAATCGCTGGTGCCAGTGGTGAGGTCGGTCATGAGGACGTCGTCGTAGGAGAGCAGGACAGGGAATTGCAGGTGGAGCGTAGGAGGGGCAGCGTCGGCGGGCCCCAGACCCATCGCAGCGCCAACGCCGCCGTGCGCCAAGCTCCCACCACCACCGTCGTCCAGGTCAGCAGGGTCGTAGTCGGGGAAGGCCGCGCCAGACAGATCCGTCATCACGTCAAGGGCTGCAAACTCATTTCCCATCTGAAGATCAGGAGCTGCGTCACGTGGAATGCTAGGGGCAGGCTCTCGGAGAAGTGGTGGAGCACCCACAGATTCATCTCCTTCAGCAGGTGCCGCCATATCGACTTCATGATGGCCAGGTGGTTGCCGACCCACAGGTGGATCACTCTGCACACGTGGATCGTGGTGTTCTCAAGCCGCTTCATCAAGTTCTGAAGGAGGATGGGCCACAGGTGGATGTTCCATGCCAGGTGGCGTTCCATGGGCAAGAAGAAGAGCTCCCCCCAAAGAGCCATCAGGGTAGATGGCCCCGAAGCCGTGTGCAGCCATCGTTGCGTCAAAGTCTTCATCAGTACCCGACGACCCACTCGAGGAGCTGCTCGTGCTCTGTGTCGTCGGTGCCGCAGGAGCCGCGGGACGAGGGGCGCTTCTCGAGGAGCTAGCCGTAGGGCCACGAGTAACGGCATCATCAGGGTCACCACGAGAGCGCCGCAGAACACGCTGGAGTTGGTGTTCAAATTCCGCATCGCTGAGCATCGGCCCATGATGTGGTTCATGTGCGTCAGCTTGCATTACGGAGTCCGAATCGTGATCCGTCAGACTGTCACCGTCGACCGTGCCCGACACCATTAGCTCGAGGTCCATGGGAGAAAAGTTCGTAACGCCGTCGTGGTCGGTGCTATCATTAGCTTCATCAGGGGGCGTTTCGCTCAGAGTGAGTTCCCCGATCGACTGGTCCGTGAGCAAGTGCGGGAGAAGGAGGAGGTGCGGCAAGACCTCAGGCAGCGTTATCGGTGAGACCGCTGTAGTCTGCAGCAGGTAGTCGTCGCGGTTGGCTGCGGACATGCGGGTCGGGTCGGCGCGCCATCCAAGCTTCTTCAAGTGTGCAATGGCCAAAAAGCGGAGGCGCCGAATCCGCTTCTCATCTTGCGTTGGCCAGCGATCGCGAAGGAGACGTCGAAGTTGCTCGCGTGCAAAGGCACTGCGGTGCCATCCGCTGAGACGCCAGTCCAGTGCGAGCTGTCTCCTGTTCGCCCATCCTCCGCCAACGAATTGTAGGTCATCGTGCCTGAGCACGTTCTCCACGCAGTCAGGGCACCATCGCATCCTTTGATCGAAGTCCGAGCCGCGCAAGTTTACCAGCAGCGAGGGGATCCACACGCGGGCCCAAGCCTCAATCCTGTCCACAAGTGCCTGACGGCGCTCGGCAGTCGGAAGAGCTGTCTCCTCGGGCGCTGGGACAAAGGATTCAAGAAGTGCAGGGAGGTCGTCATCGAGAATCGCACCTGCGATGGGAATCGCGCCATCACGGTCCAACTCTTGCTCGCCGAAGTGGCCGGGCACCCCGCCCGCGTGGCCAGGGCGCCTCGAAGTGGAAGTCAAAGATGTGAATGAAGGAGTCGCGGTGCTCGTCGTAGTTGTATATGCAATGCTGGCAATGTCCCCATGGGCAACAGCCAGCGGCTGATAGAGGAGCCCCAGCGCGAAGGCGATCATAAATGGTAGGTCGATTGATATCCCAGCTCGAGCCGCGACACTCCGCGGATGCAACGTACTGCAATCCGGTAGCGATGGAAATTGGGAATCTGATCGCCATGCCTCCCCAACCTGGGACTCGAAACCCACCCGCACCTCATGCGCCAAATCTCCAGAGCCAATGACAGTAGCAGAGCATGCAGGAGGCGCCTCCAAACCTGTCGTAGTAGCAGCAATGTGAGGCGGCGATGGCACTGATGGTCTGTAGCAAGAAGATGGCTGTGCTAACCTCGGCGAAGTGGGCAATGAAGACGAGCCCTCCGCAAGATCGAAAGCGCCTTCAATAGCGTCGGCAGTTGGCATCGGCGGTGGGTAGCAGGACATCTCGCTCGAAGGCGGGGGGGGCGACCCTGGTGAAGACGAGGGAGATGATGAGGATGACGAGGATGAGCTGGGAGGTGCATTTCTCTTGTCAGGATGATCACGTCCAGCACGCCTTGCTCGTCGGGGTGCTCTCGAAGGAGCCGTAGCGCCACGCTGTGCTGTGCGGGTGGCCGCTCTGACAAACGAGCGTGCCGCTCCCCGAGGCCAGATATGAGCGGCTGACGAATGGGCAGCGTAAACATAAGTGTAGTACATCACCACAATGTCAAATACTATCTTGTCCAGCTCGACTGCCGAGCCCAGTAGGCCCAGACACCCCAGCGGTGAGGAGGGCCGCGAGTAGCCGAGTTCTTGCTCCAAGAAGAGGCGAAATGGTTGGCACTGCAGGTAGTGATGAACAGCATCGGGTTCGCGTGGGCAGCCAAATCGGCAGGAGAGGCGCCCGTGAGGCTGAAGTATCCTGTGTGAGGTCGCCCAGCCGTTGGCCACCGTCTTGATGTAGGCGAACGCCCAGGGCATCGAGCATCCCGAAGATATTTGATAATGTGCTCCCATCTATGCGCATGAACCAGCGAGCCGCCTATCGCTCCCAGCTCAGGAATGCGGGTTGTGAGCCTCTTCTCGATCAAATTCCATAGTGGTTGGGGGCAAAGGCGCTTCTTGATCAGCATGGTGACGCATCTTTGTAGGCCCACCGACTTGGATTGCTCTGCTTGCCAGCGGTCAGCCTCTGCATTGGCTGCAGCAGGGTGTGCGTGCGAATAATCAGGAAATATGCCGGATGTAGAGCAGTCCCGGACTCTGGCCAACGTTTCCACGAAGGCTTCCGATTTCCAGAAAGGTGGGTGCGGACGCCAACCATCAGCAACGGTTTAGGAAAGTGCTCGAAGATCTCCCTGCTGAAGATGTTGGCGGTGCATCCAGTCATGGAGCCTTTGAAATTCAGGAAGCGTAGTGCGTGCTGTCCTTACCAGTGCCCCAATGCTCAAGGCAAGCCAGGAGGGAATGAAAGGCCCCCCCGCGCCACGGAGTTGAAGCCAAGACGTGATGTTGAAGGTGCCGAGGGGGATCCTGAACGTCCTGGAGAGGGCGATCAGCTACTCGCGGATGAGCCACCGAGGCAGCATGCGGAACTGAGCAACATAGGAGAGCACATGGACAATTCTTGTGGCGTAGTGGACCGCCAGTCGCGAGACCGCCAGCGGACTCCCACCAACTAAGTTTGATCTCAATTTGACTTTGATAGAGGGCGCCAGCCAGCACGAGCTCTCATCCGCAGCAGGGCCCAAAGGCAGTCCAACATATATCAGGTAGCTAACCACTTGGATGTTGGCAAAGCAGGGGACGACCTCGCGGATCGAGTCGCGCATGGAGGCAGCCAGCTGCTCGGAGAACGGCGCGTGGAGCGGCGCGAGCAAGCATTTGGTGAGTTTGAGCGCCAGCGTGGCGATCCTCTCCGCCGTCTGCATCACCTCCGCAAGGATGCGTAGGGCCTGGAGTCGTCTAACCACACAGCCAATGTCGTTGGCGCATGCTCGGGCAAGGCCGAGACGTGATCCTTCCATCCGACCCTGAAGATCAGAGAGGAAACAGGCCGTCGCCGCCGCATAGATCGATCCACTAAGCGAGCAGCCTTGAATGATGCCAGATGAGATACGCCAAGCGAAAGTAGGAAGTCCATTCTTCATCACGATGGCGTCCAAGATATGGTAAAGCTGCTCAAGGATAGCCATGAGGGTGAAGGGGGCCTGCATTTGTCTAAAGACCATCAGCATGAAAGACTGTGCCAAGCTCGGGAAGGCCGCGCCGAAGTTCAGTGCCACCAGAGCGGGGCGGTCTGAACTCGCAGTTGGCGAGTTCGAGTGCGTGCGGGCAGCGACGTCGAGCTCGAGGATGTTGACCCCGAAGTTCCTCTTGGGGATGAATCCTCTCTGCGAACGAGGTGCCCAGTCCATGAGGAGCTTGCTAAATTGAATGTTGACAGTGGCGGTAATCAGCTTGATGTCCGTGTTCCGCAGGCCCAGTACTCTCACGGCACTAGGGGAGCGAACACATCCACTAGCCAAGGAGTCGCCAACCTCTTCGCCCTTGGGGAGCCAGACCTGTAGCGTGTCATTGGTGCTATTGAAGAGAGATTGGCCCTGCATGATCCATATCATGGCATCCGATAGCACATGAATCCCCGCATCTGTAGCAGCCCAGGCCGAGTAAGGGATGGAGCCCGGGCCCGGTTCGGAGTTGTGCATCTTGTTGGCAAAGCGTCGAAGCAGAGCAGGTGACGGTGGTTCAACTTGGGGGAAATCCAATAGCGGGACATGCTGCTCGATGCATGCTTGTGTTCGGCTGAGATCGATGGGCTTGGCAGTGAAAATGGGGGCCCAGTGCTCTATCAGGCGGTCGGTCATGGTCGCAGAGTCGTAGGAGACTCACGTTGGGTCCGACGGGTGCTTGACAGCGCGAGGCGCCATTCTTCGATTCAGTGGTGGCCAGATACCCGCTCGCCGTTCAACCGCCGCAAGTTGATGGCGCAGAGCCTGTGGTGCCCTAGGGCGGGCTAACCGTTCTTCCAGCCGCGTGCGTCGCCGATCAGCGTGACGGTGTTGAATCGCACCGCGCCAGTGCTGAAAGGCAGAAGGATGACGAAGACGGACAGTGTTGTTCTGAACCTCAAGAAAATCGTAGGCCGCCGAGTGGTTGGTCATAAGCTTGTGAGCTAGCTTGTGGTCGTTGCGCCAGACGACCCTGGAGATTTGCCGCGCAAGCAGTGAAAGCGTCGAATTAGCCTCAGGGGCCTGATGAAATTGTCGATCACGAAGGTCAGCAGCTACTTCGCGGATTGCCCATTCATGAAGTTCGATCTGGCGGGGGGGGGGGTGGGGGGCTTGCCGCAAACGATCTTGCCGCATAGTTGAGCTTGCCGCAAACGATCTTGAGCTGCTTTTGGAAGTCTTCGATCTCGAACAGGTGCCGTGGGATGCGGTGGGCACGGGCTGGGCGTAGAGCACGCTGCGTGATCTTCACGACGTGCGCAGCATGATCGCTGACATTGTGCTCAGCGAGGCGCTCAGGACAATCGATCACCACTGGCTCGGCAGTAAGCTGCGTCATGATCCAACCAGGCCAGCTGCGCCAGAACCTGTCCAAGATGGAGACTGGGTGCGAGTGACGATCGTAGTGTGTGGGTTCGTCTGAGGAGATTTCCAGCGTGGACTTGAGCGCGGCAGTCCAGCGAGCAGCCCTGGCGTGTTGGCCTTTGCCTTGAGCGAGTCGGCGATGAGGCTGGTGAAGAAGAAGAGCACGCGGAGCAAAATTGAGGTCTCCATGTAGAGTAACCACATGGTGCAGTGGGTCATGATGTGCCAACTTCAGGTCAGAGGCTAAAGCTTTCGACGCCCGATTGAGCTGGCCAAAGGTCAAGTCGTGATTGTGTACATTGTAATGGTAAATGCTGAATCCATCCAGTTGCAGCGCTACTCGTAGCACTCTCCATGAACCAGAGAACGCTGAGAAACCTCAGCACGGCAATCAGCAGGAATAATAGTGGCTACACCACCCCTTGCTGCAGACCCCTCGCAGTAGCTGGTGTATACTCGCGCACTCGGTGCCACCTTAGCAAGACAGTCGATGAGCTGCTTCTGGTCCTGATGCGCCTCCTGGTGGGCCACAATGCCGCAGGTGAAGTTCAGGCGCTTGAGGTGGGCGAGCTTCGGTCGAGCAGCATGACCATGATATTGTAGTAGGGCGCGGGTATTCCAAGATGAGAAGGAGAAAGACGGGGGGTGTGCTCGGCGTCCGTGGATAGCTGCAGCGAAACCCTTAAAGAGACCGCTCTGCAGCCTCGGGTGGCGTGATGATGCTCTTGGCAGCCTCAGCCGGCCGCTCTTTCGGGGGCGCCAGCTTCTGCGCGATGTTGTCGGCCCAGGCGACCTCCGAGGGGGTGTTCCCTGGGTTAGGCGAGCGGCGAAGAACAGGGTCCCATCTAGCCATCAGGTACCCTCTGTCGCGATCAAAGAACCAACGCTTGTCGCTGGCCACGTTCTTGAAAGCCTCTCTGAGCTTGCGGCCCTGGGTCTCAAGCTTGATCTGTATGGGGTTCTTGTCCGCGCCGATGTGGAGCGTCGCCATCTGGTTGTCCATGGCCATGACCTCGAAGCGTTTCCACTGACCAGGAGCAAGCCGCTGGGCGCCCGGAACCTGAGAGACACGTCGAGCCGCAGGGCCCGCGTCGCCAGAGAATTGGATCGTGAACTGTTTGGTAACTTGCTCGCTGGAAGAAATCGAGAAATACTCAGGCTTGACGCCGCAGCTGATGATCCAGTCCGACATGATTTGTTGAACTGCCGACAATTCAACAAGTTTTGAAGCCATGGCGCGGATGATTGTGGTGTCGACGTCTCTGTCAAAGCCTGCCGCGCTGGCGGTGGGGAGCTTGGGCTTGACATTGGCGAGCGCGAGAGCATCGCGGAGCTCTTGAATTTGACCGCGTAGCGCCTGCAATTCAGAATCGTGTCCATCCAACCTGTGCTCGACGGAGCGCAGGCGCACCGAGTGGCCGTCGAGCTGTTCCTGGAACTTGCGATGGAAGGCGTCCAGCCTCTCGGAACAGAACTGCTCAGAGGCTTGCTGGGCCATGGCTGGAAGTTGTTGGGCGCCTTCGCACAGTTGCCCAGCAGCGCGAGAGCGCTTAGTAAGCTGAGCAGCGAAATCCTGGATCTGGTCGGAGACCGTCGCGGAGACAACATTGGTGAGGTCGCGGATGAGCTCGACCCTGTGCTCGGCCATCTTCTTGGCGACGTAGTCTCCTGCCAGCTGCTTGATGTAATCGTCCTTGGTCCACTCGTCCTCGCTGTTGATGTCCGCGCCATCCTCGCCCGCCGCCACTGGGGTCGCCGCGGAGGGAACAGCGACAGCAAGAGGAGCAGGATCGTCAGAATCAGCGTTCGTCCCATCATCAGGACCTGCGTCGGCATCCAGAGCAGCAGTAGCATCGAGTTGACCACGTCGTGCCCTCTTGCTCTTTCTCTTGGGACCACGGACGGCTTGAAGTCCTCCATTGCGGCCTCCGCCCATGAAGAACCCAGAGCGTTCGAGCAGGCAGGAACGGGAAAGGCCTCCGTTTACCCACCGACCCGAGCGCAGGTGCGATGCGAAGCACTGCCAGACCACAGGGGTCTTGCCCGCCGCGGACTAGCGGTATCCACTTGTTCCCCTGAGGAACTTGGCATCTTGAGCCAAAATGGCTACGGAGGAGGAGGAGGAGGAGGATAAGGAGGAAAAGGGACTTACCCGTCTATCGTGGGAGGTATAGCCCCGCGGCGCACACCGGCGGCTCACCGTCGTTTTTGGGTGGGCTGTCACGGCGCTGCTGAAGCCTCATCCCTCCGTGGAGCGCCCCGAAGTGTCCTACGTTCGAGGGCGTCAGCTTCACCGACGAATCGTTCCGCGGCTCGAAGCTCGAAGGAGGAGGAGGAGGAGGAGGAGGAAGGGGAAAATGACTATGCAGGGGGTAGGAGCGCAGAGATGGATAGGATGGGAAGGAAGAAGAGCAGTGGAAGAGGGGAGGAGGAGGATCAGCGTAAGCCCCAAACCCATCAACAATATTGTAGTACATCCTTCCTTCAGGTTCCTTTTTCATAAGCTCCTATACGGATTCATTTCCACTGGGGGAAATGCCCCGTTGGAAGACAGCCGTTTGAAAATCCGAACTTGAATCAAAACGCCATTCCTGAGACATCAACGCCGCAAATCACCGTTACTGGTGCGGCCTGCTGATCGTGAGTCGTGCCAGAAAACCATTCCTGGGACGTCAACACTGCTGATCAACGTGGCTGTTGCGCCCTGTCGTTCCGACATCGTGCGAAAACACTATTTCTGGGACGTTAGCCATGGGAATCCTTGAATCTGTTGCAAACTCTTGAGACGGGTGTGCGCGGCGCTACAGCGAAAACCGCATTTTGAAACAACGGACCACCTCTATCCGTGAAGCTCTTGTAAACTTTGAAGACGAACGTGCGCGGCGCGAAAGCGATAACCACATAAAAACACCGCCGTACATCCGTGAAACTCTTGCAAACTTTTAAAACGGATGTGCGCGGCCCCAAGGCGAGAGCGACATTTTGAAAACGGGCCGCTCTCCATCCATCAATCTCTTGCATCTTTCAGGTTTCAGGACCATGAGTGGTGAAGATGTCTCAGGCAAAACGCCTGGCTCGCCCTTTCGACCAGCCTCGGGGTGCGACAGTGGGGAATTATGTATGTATGTATGTATGTATGTATGTATGTATGTATGTATGTATGTATGTATGTATGTATGTATGTATGTATGTATATATCTATATATATATATTTGTATATATATATATATATATATATTTGTATATATATGTATATATACACATAAATACATGTGTGTGTATACATATATATACACAAGGCTGCAGTGGCGCTTCGCGCCATGCACCTTGGTCCTTGAAGTTGGGTATGCAGGCGGAATAGCAGGAAAATGAAACCGACAATTTAGCGATAACTCCTGGTTGCCTTTTCCAGCAGCCGGTATAATAATGTTATTCGTTATCCTTCCTCCATGCTTCTTCTTCCTTATTTTCGCCATGCCCTGCGCATTCTCCCCTATCCTCCTCAGCTCTTTTTTGCGGAGGCTCCTCCTTGGAGAGCCTCTAGGGGCCTCACAAAAGTTGTTTGAGGCTTCATTGAGGCCTTCTGGAGGCCTCCTGGGCGTATTCTGGGGGCCTCTGGGGGCTTCCTCGGGCCACCCTGCCTCCAACCGCGGTCTCCCTGAACGACCGAATCACGATTTGGAATTCTTCGGAGGGTGTCTTTGGGCCATCTTGGGCCGCCATGGGGCTCCCTGAAGGCCATTTTGGACCCGTGTTGTGCCGTTTTGGGGCTCTCTTGGACTGCCTGGAAGCCCTTTCGGGTGGTTGTGGGGCGATTTTGGAGCCTCCCAGGCGGCTTCGGACGCCCAGAAGACCGCCGTCTTGGAGCGTCGGGAAGCCGAATAGAGGAGAACCCCCGAATTCACCAAAAA